GTGTGTGTGTGTGTGTGTGTGTGTGTGTGTGTGTGTGTGTGTGTGTACGTGCATGTTTGTGTGTGTATGTGTATGTTTGTGAGCAAGGTCCTTTGTAGCATGTAATTTCCATCATCAGACATATTTTCCGCTTGATCGAATTAATTTCATACATATTTTATGTATAATTGTTATGATTTCCTTTCCCCAAGCAATGTTTACAATATCGTAATTGAGTATGCAATCTGATGATTTTCGCCGACGGAGAGTGGGAATATGAGCCAAGTGCCCAAGAGTTTTTGTGTGTGTGTGTGTGTGTGTGTGAGAGAGAGGGAGATTGTGTGTACAGTAATGAGAGAGATGCGGACACGAGATATTTCAGTTGTTGCAACGGCATAAGCTCATTAAATGGTGTTAACTAAACACAGTACATTGCGTTTGGTCACTGGAAATCAATTTCAAAGCCCGTGGCACAGATTATGATTGGCGTTTTGTGTATTTATCTAGGCATGGAATTATTCGGTTTTTGTATGTAAATTATGCAAAATTCTCTCGTATCGCATTTGCCGCCGCAACCAAACATTTCCATTTTCATTTCCATTAGCATGTTTTGCTATTTTGCACCAACCCCAGCGCGTAAGCATTCGGCCGAAATTCGGGCGAAGCATGCACATAAAAGCGAAGAGAGTGTGTGAGATTGTTAGAAAAAGTGCTCGAGCGCGCGTGCGAGCGAATGAAGAAGGCGAGAGAGTTTTATATCATTCAATTGAAAATAAATAATGAAATGAGATTTATATCGTATCACATTCACACATTCATTCGCTTTATCCGAAATGATATAATCCATTTTCGCAATTTAGCAGCGTTTAATAAAACAAACATTTATTTCAACGACGACGGCTTTTGCCGTCATTTGTGCCCATACTTAAAGATTGGTGTGATTGACTTTTTTTGGCTGGCGAAAAAGAATTGACCAATTTTGATATTGGGCAACCAGTGCCTATATCAAAGGCATCCAATAATGATGGAGCAATACTGTTTCAAAACGATCGGCCAACCGATTTATTTATATATATGTATATATGGCTGTGTGTGGGTGAAAAGAAAACATATTTTTTCCGGCAAGAGAGAGAGAGAGAGAAAAAGAACTGCACCACTTTTGACCTCAAACTGTGCAAAATTGCCAGAACAGATACATGACAGAGAAGAAGGAAATATATACTACATTCGGGATAAAGTTGTTCATCTCCTTGATACCGAAAAGTTTTATCAACATTTTATTTCGGCTATCTGCAATCATTTTCACGTTACTTGAAAAACGGGTTCCTCTTGGCTGCTGCTGTCGCCGTTTGTTGTTTATTTTTCTCCTTCTTCTTCTTCTTCTTTGTTTCATTCGCATCCTGACACTCTGATATCGATTTCGGTGTCCATATCTCCGACCGTTTGGCCGGTAGCATTTGCTTTTCATCGAGCTGTTCAATAAATCAATTAATCAACTAGTTTTAATCGCAAAAGCCTCGCCATTCATTTGTCCCGCTGCTTATGCTCACAAATCCAGCGGAAACAAAGATTCAATTACATTTATTTTGTTACTAATCCGCCCACCTCTCCATGGAATTAAAGGCCGCACACTTGTATTTATGTTTCGGTGGCTATTATTGCGATTTTCGCTCCAATGTTTTCGGTATGTTTGTATGTGTGCGTGCTTTCATTGTATCCACAATTTATTCATTTGGTTTGAGCGGCGAAAAGTTGATGAAATGCCAGACAAACAACAGAAACTTTTAACAATTCCAATAAATTATCAAACAACAGCATGAGCAATGTGAGCACGCTTCTCACATTCTATGATTATTACCTTAAAGTTTGATCGCTTGAAATAGCCCAAAAACTATGCAACATGACCGTACATAGCAAATGCCGGAGCGCAGACACACACAGAGAAGGAGAGAACAAACCGAAGTGGTAATATCCTACTGAACATTATTGTTTAGAATAGATTTTTAGTATCTGTTTTGCTCTTGAATAATGCCAAATAAAAACCGAACAGAGAGCAGAAAAAAAATAGAGAAACAAATGCATACATCGTTTTTATCTTTCAACGTTTCGGTTCAACGCTTTCAATTCAAAATCTTGGGGGGTGTACTTGAAATTGGTCGAAATTTATCAAAAATCAGAGATTCACTTCACCATTCGGGGTATGTATATTTTTTGGATGCTGTTGCTGCTGTTGTGTGCATTTCTATTGAAATAGCTTTTTAAGTGTGTCTGTTTTTGCGATAAACTAAATCCACACCGATACATTATACAAACACGTCCACATCCACATCCACAACCAAACAAAGGAAGAGAGAGTGAGTGAGCGATTCTCGTTTTTACGACATTGGTATTTTATCATATGGGAAAACCGCATACCAGAAAAAGTGTTAAAAGAATTGCAATAAAGCAACAGCCAACCTTCAATGGGATGGAATGTAAACTAAATTAGCATACTTTGCTGTATGTTTTATTTGCTATCGCCATTTCATCGAATAGACAATCTACCGTAGCGATGATGCTGTTGTTGCTACCGCCACTGCTACAGCTGCTATATACACTGCGAATGCTCGCTGATGTACTGACGGCTACAGATTATTCAAGAAAATTGAACGGTTCCTCGCGCCACCGAAACAGAGATGAAAAAAAAAACTGCGCAACCCAAAAATATGTGAGTATGTATGGTGGATCGAAAAGAGATCCGTCATTGATAGCAAATTAATCGGATAAAATAATGCAGTCTCGTTTCGCATCGCATGATTTTCGGCTGATATTTCTCTGCTATTTATCGCTATTTAGCTATATTTCCTAAGTGACTCGCAACCATCAAACACGTTATGTAACGAACGAAAAAAAAACGGATTTTTCAGTAACGG